TGAGTAGGTGTATCTTAGTTAATAATGAGGAAATCTTACTTTGAAAATGACTAGAGTTAATAAATGTACATAAATAGTCAAAGAATTGCTAGGTTTAATGAAAAAGCAGTCACAATATTTAGAGAAAATGCATAAAGAGATTGAGAAATATGAAGGAAGCTTTCTAAAATGTACTTTCCTGCTTACTTTCTCCCTGAAAAGACTGGATCCAGCTGCATTCCATAAATCTCTGTCCTCCAAATGAAATATCTTCTAAAATTTTTTTTCACAATAATAGCCAACATTAAAATTTAGCTATCAAAAAATGAGTTGCTTTGTTTAGACAGAAGAATTTTTCTGTAAAGGCAGTATATACAGTACTGAGGGGAGAAATACCATCTATGATTAAAATATAATGATATACTTATTTGGATTGCTTAGGTAATACATTGTGCCAAATAGCAACAAAACAGAGCAAAACAAAACAAAAAAAAAAATAGGCATGAACAACAACAATAACACCTCAACCAAAAGGAAAACAAAGAATTTACATTACTTTAATGCAATCTACTTTTCTAATGCTTCTCTTATTTGTCCAAGTTAAAGAAGTTATGAGTAGTAATTTTACAGGAATATCTTATAAAAACTTTGTGAAGTGACTTGACCTCAATTGTTTTCTTTGTCTCTGTGTCCCACCTGTCTCTTCTCTCTCAATCTCTTCATCTCTTTCTTTTAACCTAAGTCTCTCTCTCTCCTACACTGTACACTTTCTGTCTCCCTTCCTATACTGCCTCCATTATCCCTTTTTCTTCCCTATCCCACTTCTCAAATGTAAAATACAACCAAAAAGTGAAAAAAAAATCAATATTATGATAGCAGGTAATATTTATAAAAAGTTTTATAAGGTTTAACACATTTAAAACTCACAAAATTCTATGAGACAATGATTATTATCCTCTTTTCTAACATTTTCACTCTTGTTCTGCCACTATATCTCAATAATTATTTATTATCTGAATGAATGTATAAAGAATATACTTTACATTGTTAGCTTGCAGATATTATCTGGGAAATCCTAAAAACTATATTTCTAGATATTTCTTGGGGTTATATATATATGTATAGAAACAGATTTTATTGATGAATATTCAGTTTAAACTGCTTAGAAGGAGAAATCTACAAAGAACTATAAAAGAAGTTAACAACAAGCCATTTGTCATCCAAATGATCCCTTTGGGAAACTAGACTCTCTTTAATTTTTTTCCCTTTGTTTTTACATTCTTGACCTTTCTCTAAATTTCATCCAATATATTATTTCTTAAAGTATCTACTTCTGAATGTTTCACACATAAATTTATTATTTTTGACTATCTGTTCAAATGTTACTTGTGGTCATGTCAGATGTCTTCCAAGAAGGATGAGGTCATGAGAAAGAAGTTTAATTGGACCACAAAACTGCAGTGTTTTCTGGGTAAAAGGTAAAGGCTAAGAGAGAGTTCATTATGCCACAAGAAAGAAAAGTAACTTTTGGGCACAGAGTTACCATTTTTAATGATTAAGGACAGAATATACTACTAGAAATGGATTCATAATAGTGGTTTCATTTTAATTAGGAACTTCATCCATGCCCCAGCAAGCACTATGAACTCATTAGGATATGTTAAGTTACAGTATGGCATGGTGGGTGATGAAAAATGTAAGGGGATATTAAAAAATAAATTGAGCTTAGAGTATTAGAATACATAAGTGATGTTCAATTGGCAGTGAATTTGACATACACAGTTACTTTAGAAGAGGCGAAAGAAGAGAAAATGAAATTTCTCTCCTCAGAGTGATTGCTTTAAAATCTTGAATATTTTAATTGCATGTATCAAAACAGAAGCATTTGACTAGAAGTTAACGGGAAATGAGAATTAGGATTCAAGTGCAGCCCCCAAAGTAACTCTCATTAAAAAATTTACATTCCAGTTATTAAACTTAAGCTAAAAACCATACTATTAAAATCACACTTGACTGCCAAATATTGGAGGAGTCTATTCTCTGTTGATTCATTTTGTTGACATTAATAGAAGCTTCATGAGTTCAAGGAGGATAGAATTCCAAAGGAGAACAAAAGCAACAAGCCACAACTCAGTTTCAAGAAAGAAAATATTTAGGACACTATGCTCAGTCACTTATTTATGAATGATTAAGTCTAGTTCATGATTTAATGAATTAACAAATAATTACTGAATAAAAAGTCACACTGCTTTCAATTTTATTAATGTAAATAACACATCCATTCATTATTATCCTTTTGTTTAACAAATAAAGCAATGGACTTTGGCATCTAGTATTTTCTGTGGATTCAGTTGGCTTTGCAAAGCTAATTGTGTCTTTAGAGATAAAGATTAATGCTATAGTGAGTTGCAGGATCTATCCAATGTTTATATTCCTGGGACTGATGTAATTAAAAGATCCAGGAATTAATGAGTAGTTTATATCAAGGAGGCTGTCAAGGAGACTGTTGAAAACAATCTGCAGTAAGCAGCAACAGAAGTGAGACACATCATATGTGTTCAGAGGAGTCCTGCCATACTTATAGAATGAATCAACAAAGTTAGGTCTTGAAATAAGATAGCAATTGATTTTACCTTCTCAAATAAAATGATTCTCAGTTCAACTTCTTTTGTCCCCTTGAGTTTTTTGCTCTTTGAATATCTCCAGTTTTGAAAATCTTTACATTGTAAAAGCATCCCTGGACTTGTATTTTGCAACACTGTGATTCCAATAATTGCTCCTAAATCACAATTGTCACAGTAAGGAGGTTGGTGCTAGTTTTGAAACTTATGAAATTTCACAAGCTGTTGATTATGAAAGGTCAAACTTGATTTGAAAATTGTGCTGATATTTTTTCATGATTTATACTTCAAAAAGAAAGCTGCCCATTTAAATCAACATTGTTGATAATAGTAAGAACAGTACAGTAACCATTTTTTGATCATATATCATGTGCCAGTTACTCTAGTAGGCACTTTTTCTCCTTTAGTCCTCACAACAGCACCTTTCCTAGTTGAAGAAACTGAGGTATCAATGGAGTTAAATAATGTTCCCACACTGCTGGGGGAGCACAATTAGTGTGGGAATTGACTCCTCATGTAACTACAAGGGCTAAGGTTTTAAGCACTGAAGTGATTTTTTTTGAAACATCACAAAATAGCAAGTATTGCTACATAATATTGCAGATAGACACCCACTCACCCCCCCCCCCACACACATATATACAATTTCTCAAGAGTTTATTACCACAGTGGAAATCCAGAACTTTTTCTTTCAGCATTTGCCATTAGGTTTATTATTATTTACTCAAAAAAAGTAACCCTTTCCTGTTTTGTTCTTAGGTTACATACAGACTGTGTAGTTATTTACATTACAGAGGCCTCCCTGTCCCCCTCTAGCTGAACACTTTAGCACTTTTTTTGTTTTACAATCCTATTGTGTGATTCACTTTCTGGATAATCCTGCTTGGTTTCAAGGGTTTAGATTCCTGACTTGGGCAAACAACACACATATCCAAGAATAACCTGACTTTCTGAATTTACAGCACATACCACAAAATAGCCATACTGTTTTCAATTGGTCTCATTTCAAGTAGACATTTAAAAGCATAGCATTTTCATCAGAAAACAAAATGTTTTCATTATTCCTTGAATGAGGGGAAAATGCTGATAAAAATGAATTAAACTCTTAACTATCTTTTCATGACATCCTAAACCTGCTATATTATACTATCAGCTTTTATAAATAATGGAGTTTGTCATAGTTCTACATAAGGTACTCCTAATCTGGCAAGGTATTTTTCTCAATATGAGAAAGTATGTCTGCATTTTGCTGCTGAGAAATTGAACATGGAAAGCAAGAAGTGTAGGAAAGTTGAAAAGTTCTGGAATATTCCCATGTCCATGGATACAAACAACAGGGATTGCCATTGCTAATTAAAGTATTTCACTGAGGTCTATCAGTGTCCCTCGATTTAAAAGCTTTCCTTTCAGCACCATCCTGGTAATAACACTTACTCTATTTTAAAATCCCAATCCCCTTTTATGTTCTTAACTGGGTGCCTTGATGATAATGTGCTGAATTTATAGCAACTTTCAAGTGTAGATACTTTACAAGTGATAGGAGTTCTTGGCTCACTCACCAAAGACTATGCTATCTCTCTAAAGCTGCTGGAGATTTAAATAGGCAGGAGGCAGCTTGAAATTGACCTAGGAGGCCAAGGATATGATCTCATTTCTAGTGAAAAATGTCCTGGGAGTACCAAGGACCTTAAGAGGTCGAGAATTTTAGCTTTACATTCTTTTTGAAAGGCTACCTGTGTCTCCCCAGGGCCCTCCTGGGGCAATGGTCTTTGTTCAGACTAAGGCAAGGATTTCATTAATAGAATCACTCCTTTTCTCACCTGGGACTATATCACAGTATCCTACCAGAGTTCTTTATCTATGAAATCTGACCCAGTCAGAGTACAAGAAAACTTTGCTTCAGGCAGAAATTGTAATACACTGGGATTATATTCCTTTCCCCTATCTTTTATCAAATACAATACAACCTTATTTTTTTTCTTCTCTCTGTCTCTTTTTTTTCTTCCTTCCTTCCTTCCTTTCCTCTTTGGAAAGATTCTCCTGGATTTTTCCATAGATGTGATGTAAAATTTTGAGAGAAATGGATTTACTTTCAGATGTCTATATTTTCTATTTATACACGATTTTTATACATCATGATGCCCTGGATAGTTCAAATTATATGTTGAACACAGAACTCAATAAGTGGATCATTAAGCTTGATCTCTCAAACTTTTAATAGGATTTTCTCTCAATTTTAATTCTTCATATAGTGGATCCAAAATTCTTACTCAAAGTAACAACCAGAGAAAATATATATTTTTAAATTTATAGTAATAGAATTCTCTTTTATCATTTTCAAATGAAAGACAATATATACTGAAAGATGAATTTTGTGATCATCTATAAAATATTTTTCAGCTCTGATGAAGCCTTCAGTGAAGTCAATTTAAATTACCGCACTGAAAACGGGCTCTCTCTACTTCATTTATGTTGCATTTGTGGAGGTAAGTACTTGAAACTTGATATTTTTTAAACTAATAATTTGCATTTACAGTCAGTGATTTGATCTGCTTAATCGTCTAACAAGAGAATCCTATTGATACCCTATTTTTTCTTGTTTCACACCTTCTGATCCCAATAATCTTCAACTGAAACAGTAACTACCACGCAGATATTTCAATTGATTTCTCTATGAGTTTAAGACTCACTGTGCCCTTGCCCTAAAACAAGTTACTTAGTTTGCTTAGAAATCAGAATATATTTTTCAATATTGGGCACATCGGTCAGAAATAAGGTTAACTTCAAAAGCACTTAAGTCATCTCCCAAATACCAAGAAATTGCTTCAAATTATGCAGCAACAGTCTATGTAAAATCATAAATGCCAAAGATAAAATCTAAAAGTGAAAATAGACCAAAGTAAGATTAAGAGTTTAGTTTGGCTAATATTTTATTTTCTTGTGTTTATTAGTGTATCCCAATCACCTAGCGTAGTGCCTGTCATAGAGGAGTCACTCGATAATTTATTGAATTAACAAATACATAGTTAATGCTTATTTTGTCAATGTAAACTAAATTCATTGAACTCCATTTCCTTTTTTTAAACTTTTATTTAGTAAATATAAATTTCCAAAGTACAGTTTATGGATTACAATGGCTTCCCCCCCCCATAACTTCCCTCCCACTCACACCCCTCCCATCTCCCGCTGCCTTTCACATTCCATTCACATCAAGATTCATTTTCAATTATCTTTACATACAGAAGATCGATTTAGTATATATTAAGTAAAGATTTCATCAGTTTGCACCCACACAGAGTGTAAAATACTGTTTCAGTACTAGTTATAGCATTACTTCACATTGGACAACACATTAAGGACAGATCCCACATGAGGAGTAAGTACACAGTGACTCCTGTTGTTGACTTAACAATTTGACACACTTGTTTATGGTGTCAGTAATCTCCCTAGGCTCTAGTCATCAGTTGCCAAGGCTATGGAAGCCTTTTGAGTTCGCTGACTTCAATCTTATTCAGACAGGGTCTTAGTCAAAGTGGAAGTTCCCTCCTCTCTTCAGAGAAAGGTATCTCCTTCTTTGATGACCTGTTCTTTCCACTGGGATCTCACTCGCAGAGATCTTTCATTTAGGTCTTCTTTTTTTTTTTTCCCAGAGTGTCTTGGCTTTCCATGCCTAAAATACTCTCATGGGCTCTTCAGCCATATCTGAATGCCTTAACGGCTGATTCTGAGGCCAGAGTGCTATTTAGAACATCTGCCATTCTATGGAACCTCATTTTCTTGATAAAGCATTAATTTACAGGTATCAATTCTAAATATTGCTTTAACCACTGATACCAAACTAAACAGAATCTGCTTAACAGTTTGTTTTACATTTAAACATACCTTCCCATACTTGGTGATATCTTCTGTATTACTCTGATCTGAATAAAGTTCACATGTTCTGAGGAATCCTCTACAATGAGACTTTTATATAAGCTAGTTCACTGATGGTTTATTAAGATGAAATATTTCATGTTTTTTATATTTTAAAACCTCCTGATGATAACAACACTAAATTAAAAATGTAAAACCAATACAACAAATACAGCAATAATATAGTTTTTAAAGTGTAATAAAAATGTCTTTGTTAAGTATGGCTGTTAATAGAATTATTTGTAAATAGCTGTGATATTTTCTTATTATAAGTATGGAATTTATCATTAAGTCAAAGAAAAAAAATTTTTTTGAAAATATTTACTTGCTCCCTAAGATGTAGCCTTTCTAAATTTTTCTTTCAAAGGCAACAAGTCACATATCCGAACACTTATGTTAAAAGGGCTCCGTCCATCTCGACTGACAAAAAATGGATTTACAGCCTTGCACTTGGCAGTTTATAAGGTACAACATTTCAATTTCCATAAATGCTGAGTTAGAACCAACAGTGATATGCATCTTTAGGTGTTTACAAATAGTGGTCATGGAAAACTTTCAGAGTGAGCATAAGCATTAAGTAGCCTTTTTCTCTTTATTGAAAAGGTATCTTTATACCAGAAAGTCTTTTTAATTCTTTCCATGTGTAGCTTATTTAATTCCCAAAACTCTGCAAGTGAATAATATTATCCCCAAGGTTACATGGTTAGCCGGTGGTTAGCATTCTTATAAGATGAGTCAGTCTAGTTCCCTCACCAGGGCCCTTCAACCAGGCACCAAGCTGCATCTGCACAAAGAAAGCTGACGTTATACTTGAGGATGAAAGAAGCACATTTATTTTATGTAAGTTTTCCTGATTAAAAATATCCCTAGAGCTCCCTTTAGTTTCCTTCTTTAATTTTTACCTTTGCTTCAGTTTGTTTACTTGTATTAGACCCTGGTTCCAACCTAACCTCAGCACCTGATGGAAGAGCAAATAAAAAGATAGATTGGACAAACATGTTTTTTCGTTGTTGGGACCTATCTTTAATGTTGTCATAAGTATAAATTTACATAAATATAGATACCTAATTATGTGACTCATTCATTCCCTAATGATAACAGTTTCTAGTTACTGTATATTCATGGCTAAATGCTCTATGTGCCTCCCCCAACTTCTTGAGATTGATCATTACGGGGGAACATGGCCATAATTTCCCAGGATCCAGATTCACATATTACTGTGATTCACAGTGAAAATACTCTAAAGTGCTTCTTTTTTCATGGCCTGTCACTACCCAGTCAAATCCGTTCCCTCTGGGAGAAAACCGAAGCTAAATTCTAAATTGTTTTTAACACCTGGTCAGCATCCTGCTACACTCAAATGGATGCTGCGTTCAGGGTGTGAGGAACAGCAGCTGAATCTGGGTTTTCTTATAAAAGCCATGAAGTGAAAGTGGAAGAGCTCTGCAGAATAGGAAGCTAGTGATGGGTAGCCAAGGCAGCATGTAAAACTATGAATTCTGAACTTGACTCTCTGGGACATTCTACTGCATTAGTTCATTTTGCTTAGATTTAACGTGATACACACACACACACACACATGGATTCCAAGTGATTTAATGCTACGAACTTCAGAGAATATGTTTCTTCCACTTCTGTTTATCAAAGCTAGATTTCCATTTTTAGAGTTCCCTTTGATCTATCTTGTGTTTACATTTACTAGCTTATTTTATATTTATAAATAGGTAATTGTGCTATAACTTTTTCATAACAAGTTTAAATAAATTTAGATTCTTAGGAATTAAAATAAGCAAAAATTCTTAAAAATCATAATAGAATGTATTATTACTCTGTTTATACCTGATCAAAGGTAAAAAACAAAGTTACCATTCCACTTTAAAAGTAAAGCATATAGAATAACCGTTTACACTACCTGTGTAATAAATCTGGTTCCAACTATCTCCTGGTGGAACTATAAAAGTTACTTAATTCATTTTGTTCTCCAGTTTCCTTATTCCTTATATTTGAAATATTATTTAAACTTAAAAAAATTAAAAATATTGGGTAAGTAACTTGTGTATACACTTAATCCAGATTCATTAATTGTTTATATGTTGTCCCATTTTATCATTTTTTTTCTGAACTATTTGAAAGTAAATTGGAGACTATATGCTGTGATCCCATTAACTTCAATCCTTGTTTCCAACGTTCATTGTTTTCTTGAATTGTTAAGGATCTGTGTACTTGTATATTCTGGATATTTTTCCTTTACTGAACATATATTTTGTAAAAATGTGTCCTAATCTATAGATTGTCTTTCCAAATTCTTAACAATGTCTCAAGAAACAAGATTTGTATGCTTTTTTAAAAAAAAAAAAACTATGGCTCTAGTAAATATAATACAGATCTTCAACATATTACAGTCTACTACCTATGAATATTGGTCTGGGTCAACAAAAACGTAAAAAGCTTCCATAGCATAGCTCCATTTTATCTTCATCCTCCAAACTTTTGTTGATATAGAAATCTATATATAATATAAACTCCAGCCTGGGAGGGCAGTGGAGGATGGCCCAAGTGCTTGGGCCCCTGCACCCGCTTGGGAGACCGGGAAGAAGCACCTGGTTCCTGGCTTTGGATCAGTGCAGTGCTGGCTGTAGCGGCCATTTGGGGAGTGAACCAGTGGAAGGAAGAACTTTCTCTCTGTCTCTCTCTCTCACTGTCTATAACTCTGTCAAAATAAAAAATATATATATATATATAAACTCCAATATATTACTAGAAATTTTATGTTAGATATTCATTTCATTCAAAGAAAAGAATAGAAAATGTCTGCTTTTTAGCATTCGGATATGACAATGCTATGTATGATTTTTTTCTGCATAATGCTTTTTGGAGTTAATCAAAAATCTTTCTAAGTTTATGTTTTCATCATAATCAGAAACCTTGACTATTTATTCAAACATATATGCTAGATCATTTGATAATCTCCAACATCACACTAACATAACACTAAGTTTCTTCATTTTCTTCTGTCTTCTTTCTCCTTGTTCTCCAATTCTGATTATTTTCATTTATTTTAACTCAAGTTCAAACATCATGTCTTTACCATTTGCTACCTGATACTATTTTATCCATGAATTGTTCATTTCGTATGTCTACTCTTCATTTCTGGGATTCTTATTTAATTTTAATACATAATTTCAATTTCTCTGCTATAATGACTTATGTGCTTTTAAATATTTCATCTTTTTTTTTAATTTTGTGCCCATTTTTAGTGACTACTTTAAATACCTTGTCTGTTATTTTCAACATCTTGGTTAGCTCAGTGTCTGCTTCTATTGAATGCTTTTTATCTTCACTACAGTTCATGTTTTCCTATTTGTTTATGTCTCTATTCACTTTTATTGTATGCTAGATATTAAACATTCTGTTATAGGAAATTTTATCTTACTTAAAGGATGTTGAGTTTTATATATTTTTCCTCTTGTTTTTGGAGGGATTTATATTTCAAGTGAATACATTTGATCTATAAAGCCTATTTTTTTCTTTTTTGTTAGGTTGAGTCTGTTTTAGTTTTGAACATAGATTCTTAGCATACCTCTTATTCTAAGAATCCTCACTCCTGGATATGGTCCTTACTCTGAAGGTGTGAATTTTTGGTATCTAACCTAAATGCTCTAGCTGTTCAGTAAAGTCTCTCCATTCTAACTGCCTGGAACCCCAGTATCTCTCAGTGCTAAATAACCTCTAACATCACTACCATTTACATTTGAACCAAGTCAGATGATGTCTTCTAGATCTTATGGAGTCTTTGTGCCTGTGTAGCCCAATTCAAGGACCCATTCTGATTCCCCATGCAGACATCTACAGTCCTTCTGATGTGCAGCTGCTGCTTCTCAATCACTAGCTCCTCAAAATTTAGTCATTTCACAATATCATAGCTACGATAACCATTCTCCAGAAAACAGTATTTCAGGAAGAAATCCAGGGAATTATCAGATCTTGTAGAATACATTTTATATCTTTCCCTTCTCTTAAGGATCATAGCTTTTTGTTCATGTTTTTCAGTGCCTTACAATTGTTGTTCAAAAATTTGCTCCATTTTATAGATTTGCTACTTTTTCTTCTCATAGGAAGATTCCAGAGTTATCTTGTCATGCTCCCATCTATTTTTGTAAAAAATTATTTATTTTCATTTGAAAAACAAAGTGATAAGGAGTAAATACCCTAGGCTCTTGTCATGAGCTGCCAAGGCTATGGAAGCCCCCTGAGTTCACTGACTCTGATCATATTTAGACAAGGCCATGGTCAAAGTGGAAGTTCTCTCCTCCCTTCAGAGAAAGGTACCTCCTTCTTTGATGACCCATTCACAATTGATTGTAATGATTGGTCTAAGAACCAAAGGGATCACATAAACAAGAATAGTGTCTGCAAATACTAGCTGATAGAATCAAAAAGGGAGAGAATGATCCAACATGGGAAGTGAGATACACAGCAGACCCATAGAATGGCAAATGTCCTAACAGCACTCCGGCCTCATAATCAGCCCTTAAGGCATGCGGATCCAGCTGAAATGCCCATGACAGTATTTCAGGCATGGAAAGCCAAGACACTCTGGGGGGGAAAAAAAAAAAAAAAAAACCTAAATGAAAGATCTCCACGAGTGAGATCCCAGTGGAAAGAATGGATCTTTCATCTTTATACAGAAGATCTAGAAGATCCAGTTATGTGACTTGGTTCAAGTTCAAGGATTAAGAGGCAGGGAACCTGATGGTATCAATCTCAGTCTGACTCCAACATCCCAAGAATCAGGAACACTTATTTTGAGAGCAGAAGATATATATCTCTTCTCAAGAAAAAGCAATTTTACCCTTTTTGCAAATTTTTGCTCTATTACAGGTACTCAACAGTTTGGTTGATGACAACTCATAATTGTTCACAGTGTTCACTCTACCAATATAAATATTTATTTATGTTCATACTGTAATTTATATAAAACTTATATAAAATATAAATTTATATTTATAATGCAATTATAATAACATGAAAGAATTAGAACCTATAGTTTAGTGAACACCAAAGATCTTTTATCATGTGCAATATAAAATTAACATCACAAAATATGCATATTTGTTTATATATAAAGTATCTATAGAAACAAAAATCATCAGATAATATTTACTCAAGGTAATATAGACTCTTTGGAGAACAATCAGTGTTGTAGTTTGTGAGTGTAAATCCATATTTCAGATATCTTTTAACAATATTAAAATATTTGCAGTTTTATTTAAAATATAATTTATTGGGAATTTGATATATGTTACTGACTTATGTCACTTTTATATAAGAGGTGACTTCAAAACACTCATGCACAATGGAATTGAAGGACACCTTTATTTTGGTGTAAAAATATTTTGAAATCCATCCATATTTTTATATAATATGAATTTCCCATGAACTTTTGGAAGTTTCTTTGTATGATC